GAAGCATATTGACTTCTCAGATGCAGTGTTTTTTTCTATGAAATGGGGATAAGGACTGAACCTGTACCATGCTGTTATTATGAGTATCAATTGAGAAGCAACACGTGTATAAATAAGGTATTCTACTTCTGGGCACAATACCCAACACTTAGAACTTGAGGAAGAAAGAATTAATTTGGCTTATGGTTTAAGGGGATTCAGTTCAAGGTCAACTGGCTCCATAATAGAAACATCATGGTGGGAGGGCATGGTGGAGAAAAGTACTTCATTCATAGCAGCTGGGGAGCTGTACCAGAGAGGAAAGGGCAGGGGACGAGGTACAGTGCCAAGGCTGTGCCATGGTGACCCAACCAGACCCACCCAGAGGTGTGCTCTACCAACCCCTTGGATGGTTCCTAAGGCAACCAAGCTGCTGGTACCTGTTGTCCCAGCACTCAGGAGAGTGAGACAGTAGGATAATGAGTTTGACTCTGACTTGGGAAGCAGAAACAAAAAAGATATTAATTTAAAGTTTATCTATTGGTCTCTGCTTCATGGCAACTTAAATTTATTGTAACTACTTTCTGGCTATAATATGTAAGACGTTTTCAATACTTTTCAGGCTTGTTCAATGAGTGTAATCTTTAGCTCAGAATTTGTGTCTTAAAATATGCAGTTATTTTTAGTTTGAAATTGGTCAGTAATGGCTTTTAGAAAAATAATGTCTTAGACAAAATGTTTCTTTGCTTGGCGAAGATGCAGCGAATTGTGTATTCATAAGATATTAAAATGAGAGTTTTCATTTTATCTCAGTTCCTGCCAAGACCTTGAGTGTGAGAAAGAAACTGCATCTCCCATGCATCGGTGAAAAGGAATTCCAGGCTGTGTGTGCAGGGTTCAAAGAGACAATGAATTGCCTTTCACCTTTGTTGTGTTCATGAGAAGCTTCAAGGTCGATGGGAAGATACTGAGGGAGGTTTTCTTCTTGAGACATTCCAAATATGGGGGTGAATTCTCTGCTGTCCTCCAGCCCAAGAGATTTCACAGGCTTGTTCAGGGTTTGGGGAGCATGAGGAACATATTTCCACTTTACCAGGCTGCTATGACTTGTACTTGTATCTAGATGTTTCTCCAAATCCTCATGTGCTCATAGATGGAGAGTTCTAAAGTGGCTGCATTAGGGTGTAATGCTGGGATTAAGGGGTAGCTGAGGGAAGGCCCACAATGGGTACAGTTGACGCCATGCAAAGGGCTGGAGGCCTAGGTGGCGTAAAATGGAGGCAGGCTAGTTGCTACTGAAGATACTGCTTCAGTGTCTCCTACTTGCTTTGACATGGACTTTTCATCTCTGTGACACCCTTCTGCCACTTCACCCTGTCCTGGAGCCAGCCAACTATGGGCTGAAACCTCACAAACCATCAGATGAAATAAATATTTCCTCTTTTAACTTGTGGGTATAGGGTATTTTGTCTCAGCCATGACATAAATAACTAAGACACATGCCAAAAAAGCAAAAAAGATTCACTGAAATGGAATTTGGTGACAGAGCCAAGTAAGAATATGACCTTGCCAGCCAGGAATGGTGTGATTGCCTTAATTTAGGGGGAAGTATGGGGATCATTGAATTTTCTATGTGTCAAATTTGGACTCCTGAAAAGGGTCTTGGGTCATGCTGAAATGATGGTGTAAAGGATCCCGGTAGTAGTAGAGTGGCATCAACATAAGGTAGAGGATGGACAGATGGCTATTTGGAGGAGGGACCTGACAGTCTCTAGTGACAGAGGTTTCCCAAAGCCCAGTGAGTGTCCCCTGAGAGAAGGGTCGGCATCTGGACACTGACTACACACAAGTATCATTCCAAGTGACAGGGGTACCCAGCCCAGCCCAACTTTTGCTACCTCTAATTTTCCTCCATTTCTCCAACCCTGGCACATCCAGAGACATTATTGTGAGCAGCGGAGAAGAGAGATGTGGAGGCAACAGTACAGAAGCAGGCTACATCCACCCTACTCCACCTGGACATTTCTCTCTTCAGTGACGTCTGAGCATGGGAGTCAGAGAAATGCAATGCTGGCTCTGCGCAGGCATTTCTGTAGAAGCAAGTGGGAGGTAGAAAGAGGAAAGAGTCAGTTAGACTCCTTGGCTCATGGCACACCAACATAACTGTGCAAAATCTGTCTTTTGTTTTGTATATTTTACATTTTTGCTCTCAGTCTCCACTCCCATTTCTCCCCATGGTAATCCATTTTAATGGGCTCCACATGTATATTTTGTTTGTGGGTGTTCTGGAAAACTTTCTGGAGTGTGTGTGTGTGTGTGTGTGTGTGTGTGTGTGTGTGTATGTATGTGCTTTCCATCGATGTCAATAGCTCTGAATTAATTTGCTTTGTTTCTTATTTTTCACTAAGTATTGTTGTTATGGTTTGTCTTCGTTGCCATGTGGACAGTTGGACCTAAACCTTGCAGTTGGAAGAAATAAGTCTATGCTTTTGTATTCAAACACTGAGATTATTTGTTTGTACTTAAGAGTAGGAAAGTGCTCTACACTATCTTTCATCCAACACAGAGAGGAATCGTCCTACCAATTATGCTTTTTTTGTGTGCAGGGTCTCACTACACAGCTTATAGTCAGAGTGACCCTCCTGTTTTCAGCCTCCCCAGCGCTAGGATTACAGGCTCGAAGTCCACCATGCCTGGACTTCTACCAATTATGTTTGAGAGCACTTGTCTAGAACAAAGTGCTCCTTTGTAAATGTATCTCATCAAGCATATTTGTTTATTTATTTTTTAAAAAATCATATATTTATTTTTGATACAGGGTTGTTCTCTGTAGTTCAGACTTGTATTGATCTTCCTGTCTGAGCCTCCTCAGCTCTGGGAATGCAGGCGTATACCACCGTGCCCAGTTTTGGTGATCAGCATGATGCACCCGGGGTTCTGGGGTCAATACAACATGCAATACTGCGACTTAAACTCAGGACCTTGTGCTTTCCAGGGAGGTGCTTAGACTGCCAAACTATCTCCCCAGCTCCAGGCATGTTATTTTAATTAACTGCCTACTGACATATCCATTGGTACATCAACATAGTAATAGGATGCTTGTGTTGTAAAGACTCTGTTGTCCAAAAGGCTTAAAGACAAATAGTAAAATCAACCAACAGGAACAACCAATCTAGGAGGTAGTGAAAGTGAGGCATGAGGGTTCAGGAAAAGGAGAAAAACATTAGACTGAAGAGAAAGCATTTGATTTCGCTTTAAAGCATAGACAGGATTTTTATAAAATGTAAAATCAGTGTATTATGTAAAATCATAATATATTGTAAAGTAACATGAACAAAACAATGTAAGTGCTACAGCTGGGTGGTGGAAAGTAGAATGTGCTGTACCTTCCACCCACCTCTCCTCCCTCCTCTTTCTCTATCTTTCACTTTCTCTCTCCTTCCCTGTTTCTCCCTTCCTCTCTTCTCTTACTCCCTCTTTTTTCCTCCCTCTCTCCCTCCC